AGGGGTGATAGCCTGGGGTGACAGGCAGGGGCGACTACCAGGGGTGGCAGCCACAAGTGACAGCCTGGGGTGACTGCCAGGGGTGACAGAGAGGTGACAGACAGGGGTGACAGCGTGGGTGAAAGCCACAGGTGACAGCCATGGGTTACAGGCAGGGGTGGCAGCCACAGGTGACAGGCAGGGGTGACAGTCATGCTCCCTGCAGGGATGTGGCTGCTGGAGCTGATCCCTGGGTGAGCTTGGCACTCTCCATGCCAGCCTGTGGAGGCTCCAGGCTTTCCAAACCCCTGTGCCAGGCTGTCCAAACTCCCTGTGCCTGTGCCAGGCTGTCCCAACCCCCGTGCCAGGCTCCCAGCCCGCTGTCCCTCCCTGCCCGGGCAGGGCTGTCCCCAGGGCTGGCCAGGACTGCTCCATCCCGGGCAGCAAAGGGTCCCTGTGCTGGCTGCTGCCAAGCACAGCAAAAACACCAAAGGGTGTCCTAGGGGAGCAGTGACACCTGGGGGGAGCAGGGACACCTGGGGGGAGCAGGTGACACCTGGAGGGAGCAGTGACACCTGGGGGGAGCAGGTGACACCTGGGGGGAGCAGGGACACCTGGGGGGAGCAGGGAACACCTGGAGGGAGCAGGGACACCTGGACAGAGCAAGGAGCCACCAAAAGAGCCCCGTGAGCTCCCAAGTGGCTGCTCCAGAGAGAGCAGGGCCCTGCTGAGCTCTGGTGTGTTTGCTCCTCGTCTCTGCCCTTCTGGGCGACCTTGGCTGTCTGTCCCTCCCAGGAGCAGGGCTGGCAGCGGTGGCAGGAGTGTCACCTGGGTGCCAGCAGCCTGCAGCAGGGCCCTGCCAGCCTCGGGCCAGCCCTGCTGCCCCCGGGATGCTCCTGCTGCCCCAGGGATGTTCCTGCTGCCCCCGGGATGCTCCTGTTCTCCCACCTGCTCCCCCCGGGCTCTGCCCCAGGAGGGGAGGGATCTGCCCTGAGAGCAGAGCCTGGGGACGCTGCCATGCCCCGGGCTGGGCACAGGAATGTGTGAGGAGCCTGCTGAGAAGGTCCCCAGGGTCAGGCAGGGAGGGGACAGGGTGACTCTGCCTCCCCCCAGCCCCGCCCGGGCCCCGGCTGAGCCCCAAATCCCCAAATGCCCAGATCCCCAAATCCGGCCGCGGCTGCCCCGGGGCAGGGCTCGGTCCGGCCGGGATGTGGCGGCTGCAGCGGGAGCCCGGCACTTGTGACGTGGCTGTCACTGTCACCTGCCCGGGAGGGAGCCGGGCTCGGCCGGAACAGCGGCGCCTCCCTGTCCCCATCCCTGTCCCCATCGCTGTCCCTGTCCCCATCCCTGTCCCCATCCCTGTCCCTGTCCCCATCCCTGTAGCTGTCCCCATCGCTGTCCCTGTCCCCATCCCTGTAGCTGTCCCCATCGCTGTCCCCATCTGTGTTCCTGTCCCCATCCCTGTCCCCATCGCTGTCCCCATCCCTGTCGCTGTCCTCGTCCCTGACGCTCAACCCCATCCCTGTCGCTGTCCCCCATCTCTGTCCCCATCCCTGTCACTCTCCTCATCCTGTTCTCATCCCTGTCCCCGTCGCTGTCCCCATCGCTGTCCCTATCCCCATCCCTGTCCCCATCGCTGTCCCTATCCGTATCCCTGTCCCCGTCCCCATCGCTGTCCCCACCCCCGTCCCTGTCCTTGTGCCCATCCCTGTCGCTGTCCCCGTCCCTGTCCTTGTGCCCATCCCTGTCGCTGTCCCCGTCCCTGTCCTTGTGCCCATCCCTGTCGCTGTCGCTGTCGCCGTGTCCAGCCCCCCGCGCCTTTCCCCGCCGCGCTGTGGCTGCAGCAGCGCCGCTCACCCAAGGTCACCGCAGGGGACAATAGCGCTGGGGACAGCCCGGCAGCGACAGAGCCCGGAGCCTCCCCTGTGCCACAGCGGGCACACACGCCGACCTGTCTGTCTGTCTGTCTGTCTGTCACCCGAGCCGGGTGGCAGCAGAGCCACCGGGAGCTGCTCCGGGAGCTGCTGGCCCGGCTGGGCTGGGATTTCTGTCCCTGCCACTTCTGTCTGTCCCTGCCATCTCTGTCCCCTGTGGAAGCTCCAGCACAGCCAGGGTGGGCACAGCTCGGGATATTTTGGGATTCCCTAAAGGTGGGCACAGCTCAGGATATTTTGGGATGCCCTAAAGGTGGGCACAGCTCGGGGAATTTTGGTGTCCCCCGAGGGTGGGCACAGCTGAGGACAGGAGGTGGCACAGGGCTAGCCTGGCAGCAGCTGGAGCTGCCCAGGAATTGCCCTCAGGAATTATTTGGTTCGTCCTTCTCTTGTGAATGATCACGGGCAGAGCCTGGGCTTGGCTGGTGAGTGGCACGTGTGGCACCTCTGTCACGGGGATTTGGGGACAGTGGGAGATGTGTGTGCAGGGATTTGGGGACAGGGGGACAGTGGGAGACGTGTGCAGGGATTTGGGGACAATGGGAGCTGTATGCTGGGATTTGGGGACAGTGGGAGATGGGTGCTGGGATTTGGGAACATGGGGGATGTGTGCAGGGATTTGGGGACAGTGGGAGCTATGTGCAGGGATTTGGGGACAGAGGGACACGGGAGGTGCTTGCCTGTGCTCATGGGACCCCTCCCAATCCTTTGGGGTTCCCCGTCCTTCCTGCAGCCCCTCCCCGGATTTCCCAGTGCCAGGAGAGGAACAATCCCCGTTCCCAGCCTGGGGAGCAGGGCACCCTCAGCCCTGCTGCCACCAGAGCTGCCACCTCCCTTCCCTCCCTTCCCCGGTGACAATGGGGGCTGCAGGGGCTGGTGGCCACCGCGGGGCCCGTGCCAGCCCCGTGCCAGCCGAGGTGGCACGGGTGGCCCCGTTAGGGCACGGCTGAGGTCGGGGCTGTCTGGGGAAGGCTCTCGGAGCTTTGTTTGTGTCAATATTTGGACTTTTCTCAGCCGTGATTATGGAGCAACCTGCGCCTCATGAATATTCAGAGCATCAGAGCCTGCCGGGCTCTGCCAGGGGAGGGGACAGGGACGGGGACACGGGGACAGGGGGCACTGGGACAGCCTGGACTGGGGGAACTGGGGGTGCCAGGGCTGTGCTGGTGGAGGGCAGTGGGGCTGGGCATCACCTGCATGGGGCTGTGGTCACTCCAGTGCCACCTGTGCCACCTGGGCAGGGACAGTGCCACCAGTGCCACCTGGGCAGGGATAGTGCCACCTGTGCCACCTGGGGCAGGGCAGTGCCACCAGTGCCACCTGGGCAGGGACAGTGCCACCTGTGCCACCTGGGGCAGGGCAGTGCCACCAGTGCCACCTGGGCAGGGACAGTGCCACCTGTGCCACCTGGGGCAGGGCAGTGCCACCAGTGCCACCTGGGCAGGGACAGTGCCACCTGTGCCACCTGGGGCAGGGACAGTGCCACCAGTGCCACCTGGGGCAGGGCAGTGCCACCTGTGCCCATACTGGTGTCAACTCCCCACACTTTAAAGGATTTAGCCTCTGAGTTTAGGATGAAATATGGCTTCACGTTTTCTGATTTATTTCTTGCTTGCTTTCTCATGTTCATCTTCCTCATCTTCATCGTCTTCTCATCTTCTCATCTTCATCTTCTTCCTGGTCTTCATCATCCTCATCATCTTCATCTTCATCTTCCTCATCTTCATCTTCCTCATCTTAATTGTCTTCTCATCTTCGTCATCTTCATCTTCCTCATCCTCGTCTTCCTCATCTTCTCCTTCATCGTCTTCTCATCTTTGCATCTTCATCGTCTTCTCATCTTCATCATCTTCCTGATCTTCATCATCCTAATCATCTTCATCTTCCTCATCTTCATCTTCATCTTCCTTGTCTTCAGCTTCCTCGTCTTCAGCTTCCTCACCTTCATTGTCTTCTCATCTTCATCTTCCTTGTCATCTTCATCCTCATCTTCCTCATCTTTATCTTCATCTTCTTCTTCATCTTCCTCATCATCCTCATCTTCATCATCTTTTCATCTTCTCATCTTCATCATCTTCCTGGTCTTCATCATCCTCATAATCTTCATCTTCATCTTCCTCATCCTCATCTTCATCTTCCTCATCATCCTTGTCTTCATCTTCCTCACCTTCGTCTTCTCATCTTCTCATCTTCCTCATCTTCGTCATCCTCCTCTTCTCATCTTCATCATCTTCCTGGTCTTCATCTTCATCACCTTCATCTTCATCATATGCCTTATCTTCATCATCTTCATCTTCATAGTCTTCAACATCCTCCTCATTTTCATCATCTTCTCATCTTCCTCCTCCTCCTCCTCCTCTTCTCATCTTCATCATCCTCCTTCTCTTCTCATCTTCATAATCTCCTCTTCATCATCTTCTCATTTTCATCATCTTCATCATCTTCTTATCTTCTCATCTTCCTCATCTTCTCCTCTTCCTCCTCCTCCTCCTCATCTTCTAATCTTCTTCCTCATCTCCTCTTCCTCCTCATCCTCCTGGGGACAGAGAGTCCTGGGGATGGACACACAGCCCTAGGGGACAGAAAAACAGAGCCTTGGGGACACCGAGCCCTGGGGACAGACACACAGCCCTGGTGACACCGAGCCCTGGTGACACTGAGCCCTGGGGACAGACACACAGCCCTGGTGACACTGAGCCCTGGTGACAGCCCTGGTGACACCGAGCCCTGGTGACACTGAGCCCTGGGGACAGACACACAGCCCTGGTGACACTGAGCCCTGGTGACACCGAGCCCTGGGGACAGACACACAGCCATGGTGACACCGAGCCCTGGGGACAGACACACAGCCATGGTGACACAGCCCTGGTGTCACCAAGCCCTGGTGACACAGCCATGGTGACACCGAGCCCTGGTGGCACACAGCCCTGTGTCCCCGAGCCCTAGTGACACAGCCCTGGTGACACCGAGCCCCTGGGGACAGACACACAGCCCTGTGTCCCCGAGCCCTGGTGACACTGAGCCCTGGGGACAGACACACAGCCCAGGTGACACCAAGCCCTGACCGCGTGTCCCCGTTCCCCGCAGACTCCTCGTGGTCGTGGATCCCGCGCTTCTGTAAGCTGAAGGAGCTGCGCAAGCGTCACCCGCGGCAGTACGAGGAGCCCACGGGCAACATGGTGCACATCAAACAGAAGCTGTACCACAACGGGCACCCCAGCCCCCGGCACCTCTGAGGGACCCAGCCGGCTTTTAACCACACACAGGACTCCTCTTCCTCCCGGGAGCTGCCTCTGGATTGTCCCCAAGCCAGCTGAGGACACGGATTTCTTTTCGGGATGTCCGCGGGTGGACGCGCCACCATGCACAACTAAGCCGGTCCTGGGGCTTTGCACTGTGTTCCACGTTTTATTGTCAGACTCGTGTATATATGTAAAAAAAAACCAAGACAAACAGGAAAAAAAAAAAGAGAGAAAAAAGAGATTTGCATTATAATTTCAACCCCCACCCCGTTTTCCCGGCTGTCCTGCGCATCCTGCTGGGAATGCTGGCCGAGGGATGGAGGTGGGACAGCACCGAGAAGATGCAGAGTGTCTCCTCCAGGAGCTCCAGCCCCCCAAAATTTCTTTGCCCCTCCCGTGGCTGAAGGGCCTGGCTGGTCGCAGGTTTGGATGGGGGGAAGGCACGGTGTCCCATTTTTGGGGTTTTTTTTTGGTTTTTCACGTCCCGGGGCGTTGCTGCGGGAAAAGGAAGGGCTGGGAATGTGCCAGAGGTTTGTTGTTTGCGTTGCTGCCACTGAAACCTGCCTTAAGCAACCCCACCTCGGAGCCAGGGGACAGGGGCTGCTGCTGCTGCTGCTTTGGTGGCACCTTGGGGGGTGGCACCTTGGGTGGTGGCACCTTGGGTGGTGGCACCTTTGGTGGTGGCACCTTGGGTGGCACCTTGGGTGGTGGCAGGGCTGCTGTGCGTCACTAGAGGAGGGTGGGATGTGTCGGGTCTGATTCATCAACACCCCCCAGCCCTTGGCTGGGAGGAAAGGAGCTGCTCTGGCCCTCTTCCTGCAGGGTGAGCCTGGTTAAAACACCCCAAAGTCTGGTTAAAACACCCCAAAACCCCAAAGAGTAGCACAGAGGGAACCCTGAGCAGGGTGAGCCTGGTTAAAACACCCCAAAAACCTGGTGAAAACACCCCAAACCCCAAAACCCAGCACAGAGGGGGCCCTGAGCAGGGTGAGCCTGGTTAAAATACCCCAAAAACCTGGTTAAAACACCCCAAAACCCAGCACAGAGGGAGCCCTGAGCACGGTGAGCCTGGTCAAAACACCCCAAAACCCCAAAGGGCAGCAAGAGGAGGTCCTGAGAAGCCTCTTCTTGTAGGGTGAGCCTGATTAAAACATCCCCAAACCCCAAAAACCAGCACAGAGGGAGCCCTGAGCACGGTGAGCCTGGTCAAAACACCCCAAAACCCCAAAGGGCAGAACAAAGGGGGCCCTGAGCAGCCTCCTGTAGGGTGAGCCTGGTTAAAACACCCCAAAAACCTGGTGAGAACACCCCCAAACCCCAAAACCCAGCACAGAGAGGCCCCTGAGCAAGGTGAACCTGGTTAAAACACCCCAAAAACCTGGTGAGAACACCCCCAAACCCCAAAACCCAGCACAGAGGGGGCCCTGAGCAGCCTCACTCCTGCTGCACCCCCTTCTTGCGGGGCAGACACCAAGCCCAAATTTCTCCCCAATTGTCCCCAAAGTTGAGTTTATCCATGAGGAAGCTCCAAACGTGCTGCTGCTGGGGTGGGTTTTGGGGTGTGGATGGGGCCGAGGCTCCGAGGGCAGTGTCCCCACCCCAAAATCTCCTTTTAGGGCCAGCAGGGGCTGTGGGGTGGCTGCTGCCTGGGCTGGGCTGGGCAGAGAGGATTTGTGAGCAGGGATAAAAAGGGAAATTCCACCCCCAGGAATCTGAACCCTCATCATTTCCCCTCCTTTCATCGTTGTGTGTCCTGTGGGTTGGTGCAGAAATGGGGAAAACACCCAGAACTAAAGGATTGCCAGAAAAATCTCTTTTTTTTCTTGACATTCTCAGTGGCCTCCTGCTGTTTGATGGCAGGGAAAGGACACCACAACTCCTGCTCGCCCCTCCCTGCTCCAGTTTCTGTGTTTTGGGGTCATTTTTAAAATTCCCTATGCCCAGTTCAGTTAATTACAAGCCCCAAAACTGCCCAAATATTCCCATTTTTCTGCCATTCCCACTTTTGCTATTCCCTAGTGCCTCTTGTCTTGGAGCCCCAGGTTTTTTTCTGGACCTGAATAATTTCCTGGTCCATATTTCTGTCTGTCTGTCATTCCTGGCTGTGATGTCCAGAATTCCTTAGGATCCAAGGAATGACTTTTCCTTGAGTAGTTATCAACAAGTGGCGACAGCATTTTGTAGGGGAGAAAATTCCAATAGGAAAAGGACAAATATTGAGTCCCTGGAACTGGTTATGTGAAAAAAGGGAGGAAAAAAAAGCACTTTAAATCAAATTTTCCACTGACTAAACTCAGACTGAATGTAAAGCCTGGCTCTGCCCTGCTCTAGCAGCTGAGCTTGGTTGAAATATTAAAAATTCAGCAGTTGGAAAGGGTGAAGTGGTGGCTCACACCTGTTAAGTTTGATCTGGTTGATCCATGGCAAAATTTCATAAAAAATTGAGGCTCTGGAAGAGGGGAAAAAAATTTCTATATAATAAAAATGTTCCTGTTGTATAAAAAGAGATTTTTAAAAATCTGCTGGGTCTGGAGCTCTCACCTTTTGAACGTTTCTCTTGCTCAAACTTAGGCAAAAAAAAAAAAAAAAAAAAAAAAAAAAAAAAAAAAAAAAAAAAACCCAAAAAACCCCCAAATAAGAAATATTCTCAGTGCAATTAAATGTACTGGGAATAATTCACTTAAATCCAGGGAAACCAGACAGGTTTTGTGGAGCACACACAAAACCAGTGGGATTAATCCTGGAGAATGATCATTTTTTATTAATGAGGGCCAAAATTCCTTCCTGTGCAGGGAGGGAATCCTGACCCAGCAGATCTGCACACTAAAAATACCCCCCAAAACCCCCAAAATAGGAGAGTTTTCCCCAAAAGCCACAGGTCTGCCCTGCCTCCTCTTTGGGGAGCGAGGTGCCAAGGCTCCCAGAGAAGCAGAAGGTGAAGGAGGAAGCTGGGTTTGGGATGTTAGAGCTGAGTTTTGGGGTGTTAGAGCTGAGTTTTGGGGTATTAGATCTGTTTTTGGGGTGTTAGAGCTGGTTTGGGGTGTTAGAGCAGGTTTTGGGATGTTAGAGCTGAGTTTTGGGGTGTTAGAGCTGGGTTTTGGGGTATGAGATCTGTTTTTGGGGTGTTAGAGCTGGTTTTGGGTGATAGAGCTGAGTTTTGAAGTGTTAGAGCTGGTTTTGGGGTGTTAGAGCTGGTTTGGGGTGTTAGAGCTGAGTTTTGGAGTGTTAGAGCAGGTTTTGGGGTGTTAGAGCTGGTTTTGAAATGTTGCAGCTGGTTTTTGGGGTGTTACAGCTGGTTTCAGATCTGGGTTTAGGGTTTCAAATCTGGGTTTCAGCTCTGGGGTTTAGGGTTTCAGGTCTGGGGCTCAGATTTGGGTTTTAGAGTTTCAGGTCTGGGTTTCAGGGTTTCAGTGGGATGGAAAGCAGGGAATTGGATTGTCTGTGGGACAGGGACACGGGGAATTGTCTGTGGGGCAGGGACACGGGACTGCTGCTGCCACCCTGGGCTGGGTGAAGGTGACAAATCCCCTCAGTCCAGCTCCCCGGGGAGCCCAGGAGGACGAGAGGCAGAGAGTGAACTTCCTGAGGAAAAGGAGAGGAAAAACTCCAACAAAAAGGGGCAGGAGAGGAGAGGAGAGGAGAGGAGAGGAGAGGAGAGGAGAGGAGAGGAAGAGAGAAAGAGAAAAAGGAGAGGAAGGAGAGGAAGGAGAGGGAAGCAGAGGAGAGGAAACGGAGGAAAAGGAAGCAGAGAAGAGGAAGAAGAGGAGAGAGAGGAAGGAGAGGAAGAAGAGGAAAGGGAAGCAGAGGAGAGGAAGAAGAGGAGAGGGAAGCAGAGGAAGCAGAGGAGAGGGAAGTGGAGGAAAAGGAAGCGGAGGAGAGGAAGAAAATGAGAGGAAGAAAAGGAGAGGGAAGCAGAGGAAGCAGAGGAAAGGGAAGCAGAGGAGAGGAAGAAGAGGAGAGGGAAGCAGAGGAGAGGGAGCAGAGGAGAGAAAGAAAAGGAGAGGAAGAAGAGGAGAGGGAGCAGAGGAAGCAGAGGAAAGGGAAGCAGAGGAGAGGAAGAAGAGGAGAGGGAGAAAAGGCGAGGAAGAAGAGGAGAGGGAAGCAGAGGAAGCAGAGGAGAGGGAAGATGTGGCAGAGCCAGGACAGCTGCTCGCCCTGCCGGGCTGTGGGGAGCCTGCAGTGTGTCCGTGTGTCCTGAGCTGTCTGTGTGTCACCGCGTGCCCCGCACGGAGCCCGTCCCCCCTCTGGCACCCATTTCTGTCCCAAAGGGGGGTCCCAGCTCCGGCCCCTCCTGGCACTCCCAGCAGGGTCCCTGCACTCACTCCGGGGAGGCTTTTCACTCCTGAAACACCTGGGGTGCCCTGATCGTTCATCCTTTTTTTCTTTTTTCTTTTTTTTTTTCCTCTGCACCCAAACCACTTCTGCGTGCATCAGGCAGGGACAGGCACAGCCCAGACATTACCAGAGAGAGAGAGAGATTAAACTCTGCTCTGAGTCTAACCACAGAATCATCTCTACTGTGGTTGAAAAGCAATAATGGCTAATTTTATTTTTTAAATTTATTTATTAAATCCACTTGCACAGGCAGATTTCACCCAGGGCTTTGTGCTCTGCAGTGGCTGAGGGGAGCAGCTGAAGGTGCAGAGAGCTTGGGGTGGGGGAGGCAATAGAAAAAGCACACTGTGATTTTATTTGGGTCAACAAGTGAGTGTATTTCAGCCATTCCTTCCCTTTCAACAAGATGTTTGTATAATAGAGAACCAGTCCAGCTCCTGGAACCAAGCCCATCCTTTGCTGTTTGTCAGTAAAATAGTTTTTTGCATGTTTTGCATCTGAGTGGTTTTTTTTTTCCCCCCAACCCTTTGAACCCAGTGAATCTTTCAAAAATTGGGGCACCCTCAGAGCAGCAGCTCCCCAGTTTTTGGGCAGGGGGGTGACAGGGGGCTGGGAAGGTGTGGGGAGACCTGTCCTGACTGCTGAGGAAAGGCTGTGGGATTCCCCCAGTTCTGGGACAGATTTTTGGCTCCTGCTGGCTGGGGAAACAGCGAAGCTCCGAGATCCAAAACTGATTTAAAAGGAAAATATTTCACTGTTCAATTTTGGGTGCAAGCTGCCTGCAGAGAGGAGCCTGAGCCTCTGGTGCCCCTGGAGAAGGGCAGGAAAAGCAGGAAAAGCAGAGGAATTTCAGGGCCTTTGGCACAGAAAAGAGAAGTGGGATCATTTCCCATCCCAGCAGGACTGAAATCTGCAGCACATCTCCAACATCTGCTCCTTGCTGGCCCCACAGAGCAGCTCCGAGCCCGCCTGGGGCTCCCACCCGGCACAAAAATGCTGCTGCAGGATCTGTCCCACTGCTGTGGGCACATCTGGGCACATCTGGGCACATCTGGGCACACCTGGGCACATCTGGGCATACCTGGGCACACCTGGACACACCTGGGCACACCTGGACACACCTAGGCACACCTGGGCACATCTGGGCACACCTGGGCACATCTGGGCATACCTGGACACACCTGGACACACCTGGGCACACCTGGGCACATCTGGGCACACCTGGACACATCTGGGCACACCTGGGCACGTCCCAGGCTCGGTGCAGGCAAAGCAGAGCAGAAAATGAACCCCAGCACCCAAGAGAAGACTGTGAGTGGTTTGCCCAGGAATCCATCTGGGAATTTTGGGGATTTTTTTTTTTTTTTTGGGAATAAAATTGGGGATTTTTGGGGAATGGATTTGGGAAGTTTCTGGGAATTTGTGGGATTTTTTGGGAATAAAATTGGGGATTTTTTGGGAATGGATTTGGGAAGTTTCTGGGTATTTGGGGGATTTTTTGGGAATAAAGTTGGGGATTTTTTTGGGAATGGATTTGGGGATTTTTTAGGAATGGATTAAGGGATTTTTTGGAGAATTTTGTGGGTTTTTTGGGAATGGATTAGGGGATTTTTTTGAGAATTTTGGGGATTTTTTGGGAATGGATTTGGGGATTTTTTTTTTTTTTTTAAATTTGGGGGATTTTTAAAATGGATTTGTGGATTTTTTTGGGAATGGATTTGGGGAGTTTCTGGGAATTTGCTCTCCAGCACAAAACACCATTCATAAATGGGAAAGAATAAAAGAATAAAGTGCTGCTGGCTCATCCCTCGGCCCTGCCTGCAGTGGTGCCACCCCCTCGGGGACATTGGTGACCCTGGAGGTGACAGGGAGCCAGGGACAATCCCTGCACTGAAATCTGGGATGGGGCAGGAGGTCAGGGGGACAGGGAGCTTTCTGTCCCTGCTGCCACTTCATGGGACAGCAGCAGGGCATGGAATCACCTCCAGGGCAAGGAATCACCTCCAGGAGATGGAATCACCTCCAGGGCAAGGAATCACCTCCAGGAGATGGAATCACCTCCAGGAGATGGAATCACCTCCAGGAGATGGAATCACCTCCAGGACAAGGAATCACCTCCAGGGCAAGGAATCACCTCCAGGAGATGGAATCACCTCCAGGACAAGGAATCACCTCCAGGAGATGGAATCACCTCCAGGGCATGGAATCACCTCCAGGGCATGGAATCACCTCCAGGACAAGGAATTGCTTCCAGGGAGAGGGGCAAGGACTGGCTTGGCAAGGCAGGATTAGGGGAGTTGGGAGCAGCAGGGCTGGGGATGAAACAACAGCACAAAGTGTGACAGGTGACAGTTTTTTTCTTATTAAAAATATTCTAATGATTTTATTCTATTTCTTATTAGTCTTTAATTACTATTAACAAATTTCTTCTTATACCCTTTTAAAATTTAAAATTTTTACTTTTGCCTGGGGAGGGAATTGCAGGTTTAGGGCACAGTCAGGGATTGGAATCCCTAAAATCATTCCTTGGCAGGGGGGTTTAGCAGTGGCTCTGCTCAGCTCCCATCTCCTGGGGTTTGACAGAAATAATTTTAGTCAAATCATACCTGGAATTATTTCTGTCCAGCCCCAGGAGATGGGAGCTGAGCAGGAAAGGGAAAGCCTGGAATAACTAATCCTGAGCCAGGATTAACCAGGAATAACCAGTCCTGACTGAAGGACAACTACACCTAGGCTGAAAGGGAAGGGGGAAAAAGGGGGATTTGAGTAATTTTAATAATTCTGAACATGAAATGTGTGGTTTGGCTGGACAGAGATTCCCTCTCCAGCCCACAGCAATGCACCTGGCTCCAGGTGAGTGGCACAGGGCCACAAAAATTAGGAGCAGGTTCTCAAGTGCCTCTCCACGTTCTGCCAAGGGAAAATAGCAGGGAATTTTGTGGGGGATGCTGGCAGCCCAGGCAGGGAGGGTTTGCAGCCTCAGGAATTATTTCCTGGTGTCCCACAAGGACAGGGACAACAGGAAATGATTCTCTCACCAGCTCCTGCCAGGGAAGAGCTCAGGATGGACCAAGTGGGGCTGGTGGCAGCTCCTGGGTGAGAACAGCTCAGCAAGCTACTCAAGGGCACAGATCTAGGTCAGGCCAACATGCTTGAGCTGTGTAGCTACAGAAGAGGCCTCAGAGCAGAGCACAGAGTTCAAATCCAGTTCAAACACAGAGAAAAAAAAAATCAGGAGATTTTCTAACCAGTCTCTCATATGCACAGAAGAACAAATGTCATCTCATCAAGACAGGCTCGTGCTCAGGGTTTGACAATGGCACATTTTCCCAGCTGTTCCACAAATGCAGCAGAAAATTTGTGTGGCAGGAGGAGCCTGATGGCAGCAGTGGGAGCAAACAAGCCCCACTCATCTCTCTCTTCAGACCATGCTGCATCTGTGTGCCCCAAACTCATCTCTCCACAGGAAAAAGTGGTTTAGTTGGGGGAAAAATATATGGGGCTGCTCTCAGACCACTTGTGTTGATTCCAGCTCAACCAGTGAATCCCCCCAAATCCACATTTCTAAGAAAAATTTACTCTGAAGGGTAACTCAAGTGAGCAAGGAGCTGTGTCATGGGCAGGATCTGGGGATAAAAGGGTGAGAAATGGAGCACAAACCCTACAAATGTCACTGTGTGGGAGTGTCAGGCTTGGACAATCCCAGGTTCCCACAGGTGCTGGGACACTGCAGCAACAGCTCAGGAGGATTTGGGGTCAGGCCATAGAGACCAACACAGCCAGTGGTGTTTCACCAAGGGGTCCTTTAATAAATTCAGTTGTTTGTACCTTATTGAACCCTTTTTTTTTTTTTTTTCTGGTGCACTTCAAAACCACGAGACCCAGGCAGGCTGAGGCAGCAGCTCCTCCCTGGCACACAGGGCTGCTCTCCACGGGCCACTCCACCAAACCTTGCCCTTTTCCCTCTGCTCAGGTGAATCTCTCACACCGGTGTCCCTTTGGGGAAAGGCAGCAGGGGGTTCCTGGCAGTCTCTTTGTTTGCTTCAGCACCTTCTGTTTTCAGCCACTCCATCTTCTGCCGGTGCTGCCGCACGGCGTCGGCCACGCGCGCGTCCATCATGGCCTCGGTCAGCACGCCGTCCTCCGAGGCGTAGGCTGCTGCCTGTGGGGACAAGGACACCTCAGACAGCTCAGGGATGGCGTGTCCCACCATCAGGGGACATCTCAGGCTGCTCCCTGTCTGCTGTTCCCTTCCCCACGTGTGATTTCCCCCACAAGGTTCTCATTCCTAGAACGCGCGCAGAGATCACCAACGAGCTCTGCCCATCTCTGCATTTCCTGGGAACCAAATCCCCTGTTTCCAGAAGAAAAGATCTCACATTTTGCTCCTTTAAATCTCCTCTCCTGCTCTAAAACAGCTGCATGTGTGAAGCTTGGTTTCCAGAAGAAAAGATCCCACACTTGGTTCCTTTAAATTTCCTCTCCTGCTCTAAAACAGCTGCATGTGTGAAGCCTGGTTTCCAGAAGAAAAGATCTCACATTTTGCTCCTTTAAATCTCCTCTCCTGCTCTAAAACAGCTGCATGTGTGAAGCCTGGTTTCCAGAAGAAAAGATCCCACACTTGGTTCCTTTAAATTTCCTCTCCTGCTCTAAAACAGCTGCACGTGTGAAGACAATAAAGTGAAGAGAGGTGGGTGCAGGAAGGTGATGGAACAACTCCATCCAAAGCAACAAAAAATTGTTTAAACACTTGCACAGCAGAACAAACAGTGCTGGGGGGAACATGGGCAACGTGGTGCCTCTAAAATGATGTTTAATGTGCCTCTAAAGTGATGTTTAATGTGCCTTGTCCTGCTTTCCTGGTGCACTCCCTCAGGAACATCCCCTGCATCACTTGCGGCAGCTCCCACCCTGCTCTGATGCCCACAGGAGCTCCCCAGTCCAGTTCTGCTGGCACAGGCAGCACAAAAGTGACCACAGCTCCCTGTGGGAAGGGCTGGCAGCTCCTGCCACCCCTGTCCCACAGGGGAACAGGCCTGTGGGGCAGCACAGGGACTGTCCCTTGTGCAGGGGACACACAGGACAGCTGGGCTCAGCCTGGCCACGCTGAGCTGGTGGCACAGCACAGCACACGAGGGAAGGATGCTTGTGCTGTCAGCTGCACCCATCTCCAAGGTAACAGAGCAGCCCCCGAGCTGCAGATTTCTAAATCTGGTTCCTCCCTCTGCAAGTGCTCCCGTGAGCAGCTCAGGGAATGAGGGAGCTTGGCTGTAGAGAGATTCCTTGGCTGCACAGGGATCCTTTGGCTGTACAGAGATCCACTGGCTGTACACAGATCCACTGGTTGTACAGAGATCCTTCGTTTGTACACAGATCCCTTGGCTGCACAGGGATCCCCTGGCTGCTCACGGATCCCTTGGCTGTACAGAGGGTTGTACAGAGATCCCTTGGCTGCACACGGATTCCCCCTGGCTGCACAGAGGGTTGTACAGAGATCCACTGGCTGCACAGGGATCCCTTGGCTGCACAGGGATTCCTTGGCTGTACAGAGGGTTGTACAGAGATCCCTTGGCTGCACAGGGATCCTGACTGCACAGGCACAGGGATTCCTTGGCTGTACAGAGGGTTGTACCACGGATCCCCCCTGGCTGCACAGAGGGTTGTACAGAGATCCCCTGGCTGCCCACAGATCCCTTGGCTGCACAGGGATCCCCTGGCTGCACAGGGATCCCCTGAGTGCACAGAGGGTTGTACAGAGATCCCCTGGCTGCACAGGGATCCCCTGGCTACACACGGATCCCTTGGCTGCACAGGGATTCCTTGGCTGTACAGAGGGTTGTACAGAGATCCCTTGGCTGCACAGGGATCCCGACTGCACAGGGATCCCGACTGCACAGGGATCCCCTGGCTGCCCACAGATCCCTTGGCTGCACAGGGATCCCCTGGCTGCCCACAGATCCCTTGGCTGCACAGGGATCCCCTGGCTGCACAGGGATCCCTTGGCTGCTCACAGATCCCCCCTGGCTCCACAGAGGGTTGTACAGGGATCCCCTGGCTGCACAGGGATTGGGATGAGGGGAGGGAGCCCTGCAGCTCCCCACCCTGCCTGGCCCTAAGAGCCCCAAACCACACCCTGGACTGTCAGGTGCCAACCCTCCTGTCCCCTGTCCCAGTGACTTTAACTTGGATTTCAGGACACACTGCAGCGGTTCTGAGGCATCACACACAGGCTCCATCAATTACTGATGGTGCAAAACACCAATTCCAGCCAGGAACGAGCCTGACAGCAAAAGCAGCACAGGAACAAACTCAGGTGTGACCCTTTCACACCCCCTGCCCAGGGATGTCCATGGGGCAGAAGACAAAGCCCAGGCTGAGCTGTTGCTCTGCCACCACCACAGGGTTAGAGCTGCCTGCTACATCCGTGAGGAGATGCAAGGAGAAATACCCCACTGAAGGAGAAATAATATTTCCAGAATAAGCAAAAGGTCCTCAGGCTGGTTTTCAGGCTCCTCTAACCTATTTTCCAGCCTTTTTTTTGGAGGGGAAGTGGTTAGACCACCAAAGGTCTCTTGTTTTTCCTGCCAGCACCATCAGATCCTTTCCCTGTGCAAACCCTTTGCAATCCCTCCTCCAGGCAGCACTGACAAGTCAGGCTGCTGCTCCTGCTTAAAACCAGGAGTAAAGCTCAGCCTTGGGAAGGAGCAGGTCTGTAAAGAGAGAATTCTCTATTTATTATCATTTATTCTCAAAGGTTTTTGTGCTGCTCTCACTGCAGGATCCTCAGCACCGAGGCTGCCACAATCTGCCAAATATTCCCACAGCACCTCTCAGGGGAACACTGCAAAGGTTTTGTTCAGACCTCCCTCACCCCCTTCACTTTTTTATTTTTGGTCACAGGGTTGCTCAATGCAGCCCTGGTGGGGTGGTTAAAAATGAGAAAAGAGCTTTCCTGGGATGCATTTTTGTGCTTGCAGAGCTCAGGGAGGAAGGATGCTTTGCCTGCCCATCCAGCCCAGAGTGGAACCTCCTGCAAAGCTGTGCAGTTCATGCTCTGCTGATTTTCTCAATGACTTTCTATTTTTAGAAAGCCTTAGGCCCTTGCTGTCAAGAAAGCAAATGGGAGAAGCAGCTGCCCCTTCTGGGAGTAGCTTGCACACACATAAAAATGGTACCAAGCTTCATTTATATTCATACCTCTGCCTCCTGCATGGGCAAATTTTAACCCATTTTCTCCAGTGCAGCAATTTCTGTTTTATCCCTCAAATCTAATTATGAAATAATTGTGTTTGGTGAGGATGGAACAGATGACAAGCCAGCCTGAATGACCTCATGTTTCATTTCAGCCAAGATTTGTGGTTTGTTTGAACCTGGCCAGACTCATCTGTATCATTTAAATCCCATTTATAATGAAAGTAGCCTGATGAAAAAAAAAATAAATAAATAAACCACAAAAATACAACAGCTATTTTTAAAATATAAACAAGGTTCAGGGAGTAAAATAAGAGGCATTTATGTCAGTGGCATAAAAGGCAAGGAAATGACAGGAAGCTCACACTGGGACATAAAACTCCTGGGAATTCTCCTGAAATGCTGCCAAAACAGTTTTCCAAGATTACAGCCTGGAATAGTGAAAGGTTGCTTTTAGGTTTTGACATTTTATCTAAAGCACATCAGCAGCTTTGAGTACAGGGCTGGGAAGTCTGCACACGACTGGAGACAGAGCTGAGGGGAATTTTTAAGGTGAAAATGCACCGAGTCCATGCTGGAGCCATAAAGGGCAATGGAAAAGCACAAGGACAAAAGGGAACGCTCAGACTTCTGCAGAAGAGATTAAAATGGATTTTTAGCACGCACACTCTTGCCTGTGCCAGACAGCAATATTTTTCCCAGTGCTAGAGGTTACACTCTTGGCTTTTCTGCTTCTTATGGTTTTTTTTTTTCTGCTGTTGGTAAATTCAGGACAGCCAGAGCCAGACTGAAAGAGCAGTGGGTTAGAGCTTCGTGTGAGTGACAGCCAATCCATCTCCAATGCAGCTCAAGGTGGGGTTAAGCCTCTGAAAGCTGCAGCTGCTGCTCAGTTTTACTGAGATGGTTTTTCAAGGCAATATTGGCAGAAGAATCCTTGTGGGAACTCCCTGCAAGGGCACAGGACAGAGAGGCCACTGCTGCTGGCCCAGGGAAGATGCTTGGGATGCTTTCACCCCCTAAGGCTTCAGAATTTCCCCCAAAACCATCTCTGGGATGCAGTTCATGATCCCAGAGGCTCCAAACTCCACCAGGGCCACACAAACCTTCCTGTGGGCAGGATTAAGGCTGAGGTGTGCACTCAGAGAGGGGCTGCTCACAGCAGGCACAGGGTGGGGAGATGGGCTCTGACCCCTGCAGGGCCCAGAGATGGACCTGGATGATCCCTGTGGGCTTTTCCCAGCTCAGAATATTCTGTAATCAGATTATTCCCCACCTTTGGCAGGCAGCACCTTGAATGAAAAGGGAATTAAAAGACCAGAAATGATCTATTGATGTGAGATATAAGAAATACAGAATGTATTTCATCATCCAGCCTGATGAGGATTTTTGGGAGTCATTTCTGGTTCCTCCAGCCCCTACCTACCCCGAGCACTGTAGCTATGCAGTTAACTCATCTTGCCAGGCTATTTTTATCTCTGCTCAGCTCCCTGACCCAGTTCAGAGCACAGCCATCCACAGGGGTGCACCAGCACCACGGGAAGGAGAGCAGGAAGGCAGGAAAACACTGCCAGAAAGGCTTGAAAACCGCAGCCTTAAACCTTCCCTGGTCCTACAGCGAGTCAGCAGTGCTAAAACAGGGCCTAAAATACCAACAGCACCCAGGAGAGCAGCTGGGGGTGAGGAAATTCACCTGCCTGGAGAGGGGCTTTGCCCCCAAAACTGCTGAGGCAAACCCAAAGGCAGGGGGACACGTCCTGCCAAAGTTCCTGGCAGGAACAGCAGCTCCAAGCTCCAAATTCCCCGTCCAAAAAATGGACAACAAGTCACAGGTTTTCATATTTTTGTAAGTTTGGTTCATTTGCATATTGGGGTTTAATCTTCCAATTACAGCTTCAGGTAATGAAGGAATTTATTCTGAGTTTGCTCCCCCCAAATTCATTTTTGTTTAATTTTTTGGGGCCTGAGGCAGTGAGGTGCCAGGCCTGGAGAGGAATTGTTGTGTCTGCCCCAAAGGGGAAAGCAGCAGCTCCCTCTGTCCATGGAATTTAGAGTTCTACACTAAAGAACTGCAGGATTATAAATAGATGAAAACCAGAAAAGCTCAAATCACAATCAGGCATCACAAGTGAGTGAAAAAGAATCGCCAGAGCATCAACAGCTCCCAGACAATTCTCATCCCAGCCTGGATGGCCTCATGTCCAGTGATCCTTGGCACATCCCCCTGCCCTTCCTGACCCACAAGAAATGAGCTTTAGAGTTCTTTCACTTTGATTTTCACTTTGATTTTCACACAAATGAAGTTTCTTGCTACACCCAACCAATTCTAATAATTTCTCCCCATTCCCCTCTCCTGAGTGGTTTTTATTTAAAGCTTTGAGTGTTTCATGAGAGCAGAGAGGAGCACAACAACTTCCTGCAGCAATTTCACATCAAACCTTGTTAACAGTGCTGGCAGCACGAGGTACATTTTTAAAAGCTGTCAGGGAAAATTAGTCACCCCCACCTTTTTCCTTCCTTCACCAGCACTTAAAGGATAAATGATAAAAGCTGAGGTCATTCCTGGGGAGAAATGACAAACTTGCTGATAAGGGGTGATAAAAAGCAAAGGATCATTTATCACAACTTCTTATTACAGGAAATAGTTGGCAGCAAAGCCTTTCACATACGTGGGGCAGATGACAGCACACATTTTGAAATATGATTCAATATCACAAAAATTATACAGGAAAATTAACCAGCTGTGTGCTACCAAAGAGTAAAATAAGAACTAACAGCACTCAAATTGGACCTCAGCTCATGACTGCTGCAATTAAAATTAATTTATACTAGAAAGGATAAATATTTATGTTCCTTAAAAGGTGGAAAATCAGTGGTAGAAGGAATGAAATGCACAAACTTCATCAGATGTTTGTGAGCTGCTAAACTAAATTAAACATTTAAGAACTAAACAAAAAGCCACTTTGTTTTTACAAGCCCTGAAAGGAAGCTGACATGAGTAGGCTACATGACACACAAATTGGAGCACATTCCTTCAGTTGGTATTTCTAGGTTAGTTTATGAAAATACACAATCCAGTAAGAAACTGGCAGCTGTGACAAAAAAAGGTGAAAACCTGATTTAAATAAAAAAAACCCCAGCACTAAAGTTTGCTAAGCACGTGAATAATTGTACTCCAAGTGAGTGCATTTCTTATTTTTATGCATGGAACAAATATCTATTTTTTTTTCAGCTCCAATTCCAGCCAGTTTTGTTTCTTTAATAGCTCAAATTGCAATGAAAGGTTTGGAACAAAGGAGGATGGTTCAGGGCCCTAATGAGGCACCAACATCAGGCTTTGTTCTGCTGAACTTCCTGAGCTGGAGCATGAGTGTGGCCAGCAGGGACTGCCCAAACTGCCCCCAAACTCACCTGCTTGACCCAAATTCCACAAGGGATTTCCCCACTAGGATTATCAAAACTGCTCCTGTGTATGGGATGGGGAATTGTGCTGATATTGCAACAGCCACCCCAGAGCCAGCAGGGAGCTGGTACCACCCTATGGACAAATGAAACTTGCACAGGGAGAGGAGCTGAGACTGCAGGATCAAAGCCTGAAGCTTCCCAGGAGGGGAAAAGGGAGAGGAAAGGAAGGGGAAAAAGGAAGGGGAAAAAGGAAGGGGAAAAAGGAAGGGGAAAAAGGAAGGGGAAAAAGGAAGGGGAAAAAGGAAGGGGAAAAAGGAAGGGGAAAAAGGAAGGGGAAAGAGAAAAGCCCCACTCACCTGCCATGCCACAGCAAGCTGGGAGATCTCCCGGCCGGACATGCCCTCGGTCAGCCTGGCAATCTCTGAGCACTTCTTGCCATAATCAAACTGGGCCAGCTTCAACCTCCTGAAAGGCAGAACAACCTTTTGGCTGATGTGTAGCTCCTACAGATTCCTGCTTGCATTACTGCCTCCTGAATTTTAAGGGCACAACAAAAAAATCTGGGATGGCATCGCACTGAGACAGCAAGAGGCACCTCCCAAGTCTTTTGCTGCTTGTTGAAAGTGGGTTTGTAGACAGAATACACAGGAAAGGGGATGAGGAAAAACAAAGAAAGAAAGGGAATTCTCCAAGGTGGGAGAGCTGTGAGGGGTACTCACTGTTTGCCCTCTGTGGCTGGCTTCAGGATGTGCTGGTCGAAATACATCCTGACGAGCCGCTCGCGCTCCTCCAGCTGGGGCAGCTCAAAGTTCACCATCTCATCTATCCTGTCATTGATGGCCCAGTCAAACTGCTCAGGCTGGTTGCTTGCTAAAACAAGCATAAACCTGGAATTAGGGGGAAAAAAAAAAATAAAGGATAGACTGACAAAGCCATAAAAATAAAAATCGATGAGGTAAGTCTGAGCGTCGGGAGCTGCCGTGGTTGGGATCCAAGATGTTTCATCACCTGAAAAAAAAAAACTTGGATTCCTTAGAAATAGCTTTAACAGCATCTCAAGCAGCACACTAAAATGTGTTTTGGGCTGTTTAGAACAGTCTGAAGTGTGCAGCCCAAGCTCTGCTCCATGGTACAGATGTGCTGCTCCAGGTCCTGCTGCATTTTGGAGCTGGAAACTTTTTTTTTTTAGCTTTGTAATGATGCTTCTTCCCTGTGCCAATACTTTAATGCTTTAATTGATGTCACCAGTTTAACAGTGCCTAATAATTTGAAATGGGCTTTTAAGCACAGCTATTGGAATATTGATGTTCCTGCTGTCTGGCTGAATCATTGGCTACAAGGGGCCGTGTTCTCTGCTGTCACTTTTGGAGATAACTTGGCCAAGACAAGTCTGTGGCTTTTCCACCAACAAAGACTTGCAGAAACACAAGCCTGGATTAAGGATTGCCATGCAGCCTGATATTCAGCCAGCCAGCTATCCCACAAGACGATTTTGGGAAGTTGCAAGGCAGCAATTCCCAATGCTGGAGGAAGAGCTCTCCTCAGGGTCTCACCAAAGCACCCCATTTACACAGCCCATTTCACCCATTCCACTGAGCTCCCACTCATGGATGCAGGGCTGCTCCTTGCCCAGAGCAGCAATAAGGCTGCTCAGAAGTAAAAAAAGCAGTGCATGAATCACCAGGGCATGTTCAGTGTCCTCAGATGGCTCATGGTTGAAATCGGGGCTGAATTCAATGTGAGAGCTCATTGCTAACGAGAGCTCAGCTGTTCTGAGCATCCCCAGCACCCCAAAAAGCACCCCCAGAGCTGCTCCATGGCAATTCAACCAAGCTCTGCTCCATGGTACAGATGTGCTGCTCCAGGTCCTGCTGCATTTTGGAGCTGGAAACTGTTTTTTTATTGCTTTGTAATGATGCTTCTTCCCTGTGCCAATACTTTAATGCTTTAATTGATGTCACCAGTTTAACAGTGCCTAATAATTTGAAATGGGCTTTTAAGCACAGCTATTGGAATATTGATGTTCCTGCTGTCTGGCTGAATCATTGGCTACAAGGGGCCGTGTTCTCTGCTGTCACTTTTGGAGATAACTTGGCCAAGACAAGTCTGTGGCTTTTCCACCAACAAAGACTTGCAGAAACACAAGCCTGGATTAAGGATTGCTATGCAGCCTGATATTCAGCCAGCCAGCTATCCCACAAGACGATTTTGGGAAGTTGCAAGGCAGCAATTCCCAATGCTGGAGGAAGAGCTCTCCTCAGGGTCTCACCAAAGCACCCCATTTACACAGCCCATTTCACCCATTCCACTGAGCTCCCACTCATGGATGCAGGGCTGCTCCTTGCCCAGAGCAGCAATAAGGCTGCTCAGAAGTAAAAAAAGCAGTGCATGAATCACCAGGGCATGTTCAGTGTCCTCAGATGGCTCATGGTTGAAATCGGGGCTGAATTCAATGTGAGAGCTCATTGCGAACGAGAGCTCAGCTGTTCTGAGCATCCCCAGCACCCCAAAAAGCACCCCCAGAGCTGTTCCAAAGCAATTCAAAATCAGGGGAAAGAAAAAACCATCCCCCAGCACCCCAAAAAGCACCCCCAGAGCTGTTCCAAAGCAATTCAAAATCAGGGGAAAGAAAAAACCATCCCCCAGCACCCCAAAAAGCACCCCCAGAGCTGCTCCATGGCAATTCAAAATCAGGGGAAAGAAAAAACCATCCCCAGCACCCAAAAAACATCCCCAGAACTCTTCTGAGGTAATTTAACATCAGGGGAAAGAAAAAACATCTCCAGCACCCAAAAAACATCCCCAGAGTTCCTCCAAAGCAATTAAAAATTAGGGGAAAGGAAAAACCATCCCCAGCACCCAAAAAGCACCCCCAGAGCTGCTCCAAGCCAATTTAAAATCAGGGGAAAGAAAAAAAAAACATCCCCAGCACCCAAATAACATCCCCAGAACTCATTTGAGGTAATTTAATATCAGGGGAAAGTAAAAACATCCCCAGGTCCCAAAAAGCACCCCCAGAGCTGCTCCAAGGCAATTTAATATCAGGGAAAAGTAAAAACATCCCCAGGTCCCAAAAAGCACCCCCAGAGCTGCTCCAAGGCAATTTAATATCAGGGGAAAGAAAGAACCATCCCCTGCCTGTCCCTGATTTGCAGGACAAATATTTCTTGTATTTTATTTCATAATATTTTTGCAAATATTACGAAATAATAATAATTATACTGAGCAATTTATGGAGCAACTCCATGGATCATTTCAGAAGAGATCTGCTCTCCTCCAAAGGGAAAAGCAAGGTTCTTGCAGGATCAACACCTTGCTTTCTAGCAATTTATTTATTATAGAAAAACCACCTCTTCCCAGGCACCTCTGGGACAGACACACAAGCAATTATCAGTCACAGCTGCAAGGGTTCCAACAAGTTCAAGAGACCTCAAGGACAGAAAATTCCTGGAACATTTTGACCTTCCAGGATATTTATTTCAATGTCATGAGGTTACTTAAAAAGTCTTTCAGGAGTTCATCATTAAAAACCTCACTTTCCCCACATAAAGCCAGAGACAACTTTTCTTGCTGGCTCAATTGTGACAGGAGAAATTCTAACAAGTAAAGTTCACACCAAAAAAAAAAAAAAAAATCAAATATGATTTGAGAAAGGTGGAGGAAAGGTCACCTCTCTATTATGACAGACAGGAAATGGCTTTGGCTGAACTGAGCAGTGCTGGGCAGGGAGTTCCCAGGGAGGTGACAAAGTGGGGACAAGTGACATTGCCACTCTGTGCTCAGCAAGGAGGGAGCAGCTCTGGGATCCCATGTGGGAAGAAATGGAGTCAGAGGGAAACTCATCTGCCTCAAAGCTCTGCCCACACAAGCACAAGATGGGAAGAGGTCACTGGAGAGGAGCAAGCAGCACTCAAGTGTTTTTCCAGGGAACATGAAGCACCCAGCTAGGATAACTCTGAATTTTTGTGGCAGTGATTTTCCTGGGCTCTTGAATAAACAGTAACTTGCCAAGACAGAAAATATAAACATCAAGACACTCAAGATGTCCAAATATCACCAAAGTTTCAGGAAAAAGTTTTCCTTCTGTTCTGGTTTCCAAGTGGCAGGAAAAGCTGAAGGAGGAACAAGCTACATTCAGCACATGAAGTAAACCAGGGATATTCTCTGCAGATTTTGTTCAATCCCTCAGCAGCACAGATCATCTCCAACTTCCATTTGTACACCAGAGACCCTTTAAAGACTTTCCTCAACCCAGGGAAATATCAGCTGCTGGAACTGGATACTCACTTGTTGCTGTGCTGCCCTGTTCTGTGCAGAAATGCATTTAAAGTTGCTCTGAGATCTTCACTGATTTTCTCCTGCAAAGATGAAACCCAAAGGAGGATCAGCTGCTGAGGACTGCAGAGAGGTCAGAGCTTTAATCAGCATTAAGGACAAAGGGAATTCTGTTATCTGACAATTTATTTATATTCCTTTATTTAAGGAGGAGCAGAAGCAGGAAAAGGAGAAGGAGCAGAGCAAGGAGAAGGAGGAGGAGAGAAGGAGGAGAGAAGGAGCAGAGCAAGGAGCAGAGCAAGGAGAGCAGGAGAAGGAGGAGAGCAGGAGAAGTAGAGAAGGAGCAGAGCAGGAGAAGAAGCAGAGCAGGAGAAGGAGCAGAGCAGGAGAAGTAGAAGAGCAGGAGAAGGAGCAGAGCAGACACACACAAGGAGCAGAGCAGGAGATGGAGCAGAGCAGAAGGAGCAGAGAAGGAGCAGAGAAGGAGCAGAGAAGGAGCAGAGAAGGAGGAGAGAAGGAGGAGAGAAGGAGCAGAGAAGGAGCAGAGAAGGAGCAGAGAAGGAGCAGAGAAGGAGCAGAGAAGGAGCAGAGAAGGAGCAAGAACAGAGCAAGGAGAAGAGCAGGAGAAGGAGAAGAGCAGGAGGAGAGAAGGAGCAGAGCAGGAGAAGTAGAGAAGGAGCAGAGCAGGAGAAGGAGCAGAGCAGACACACACCCAGCACTTACTGTGGCCCTTTTCCTCAGGAATGCATCTGCCTCGTCCACGAAGAGCAGGAGGCTGCAAAAGGAAAGCAGCCACAGTAACAGGACAGGGTAAGGCAGGCCTGGGGAGTCTTTGCTTCCTCTTTGCCAGGGTTGGGATTAAATGGACAAGATGGAATTTCTTGTTTGGACTCAGATGTTTTTTAGTTCTTATCTATGTTAGAGTCTCACAGCAGTGAGTTCTGCAACAGCTCACTCCAACAAACTACAAATGGAGCCCTGTCTCCCTCTACAAGACCTTTTAGGGATAAAGTGTCCAATTAGAAATGACACCTAAATTATTTTTACTTTTAACCCAACAGCCAGCCACCCATGGCCTGCAATGTGGGCTCTTTATCCTATTACACAAAACTACCCAAACCCATGGAGAAGAAGGTGAAGGAGAAGCAGAAGGTGCAGAAGGAGAAGAAGAAGGTGAAGAAGGAGGACAAGGTGAAGGAGAAGAAGGTGGAGAAGAAGGACCAGCCTCTGCCCTAAACCCTCCATTTTGCTTTATATATATTTATATATATTTTTAATATATTATAATATTTATATATATTATTCTAAAACCCCAACCTCTCATTTTCCCACCCTGTGACCTCACACCCTTCTATCCAAACCCCACACCCACACTCCCAGCTCCATCATTCCATTCTGGAAGCTTCTCCACGGCCCCAGGTCAGCGCAGGGCTCTCCTGGGGGTCAGTGCCTGCCAGCACAGAAAGTCTGGAATTTCCAGCAGCCAGAGGCTCAGCTTGCTCCAGGATCCTCCTGCCCCACTGCCAGGCTGCCAACACCCAAAGAACTGCACAAGCAGCCTCATTTCCTGAGGCAGCATTTTGGAGCTAAGCTGCAGCAACCTGTCCATGGTGTGCACCTGGCCCAGCCCAGCAGCTGAGAAATGGATTTATTTCACACACCTCAGGCCACAAATCTGCCCCCAGGCCTCTGGAGCTCTGTTCCTGCTGTTCAGAAGCAGACTGAAGCAAGACTAAGGCACATGGCCTTAAACTCCTTGGATTTTGAAATGCAGGTGGGAGTTTTCATAGGCACAGTGTGCAGTTTGTGGCTGGCAGTGCTGGATGTCACTGCCATTGAAATTGAGGAAAGGAGAGGAAAGTCTGAGTGACACTTCAGCATTCCCTCCTCTTTAGAGAGATGTGTGCAAAGGCACAAATCAGAAATCTTGGTGACAATGACACCTCCCTGCAATTTTTCCTCCTTATGCCACTGTGAGAAGTTCAACCAGAGTCCTGTCCTCAGCCTGCTTTGTTATTTTGTGAGGTTTTTCTTTCCCAAACCACAGCAGCACTAATGTAATGGTTTTACTACCTGTAGAGAAGTGAATTAATAAAGTCCATGAATTATTCACCAAAATAAATTCACTTCTAACCCAAGGGCAGTGCTCTTCCCACGGGACTGAGCCTGTAAAGATGTTTATCAATAACAGAACCAGGTTGCTCATAAAGCTGTCACAGCTTGTATTACTTCCTTGCCTAACTTCAAACCCAGCTTTCTTCCAGGGCATTTCAGGCCTATTAACACCTTCCTCCCAGCCCCAGCTTCTCCCAAATATTCTCTGCACAAAAGTGTCAGTTATCACAATTTCAGCTAAATAGGAAACAGCTAACACTGGTGGATATTCAGAATTAAACATGCTTAAATACTTCAGTGCTGCTGGAGGTGAGAATATTGATTTTATGGACACATGTAAGCTTTGATCAGGCAGTGTAGGAAGCTGAAATGCACAGGAATTTTTATCAGGGCAGAGAAATTCAGAGTCAGGCACTGTTGTAAGAGAATTCCTTGATGGAAGCATCCAGCTGAGTATCCTCACATCTCTTCCAACTTCTCACTTAAATTCTAAGCTCACTTAAATTCTAACACCTCTCCTTCTATAGCTCCTCAGGATAGAAGCTTAAAAATTTAAATCCTGCTTTTAAATCCCTGCTTTTTTTCTTTGTAAGAGGAAATAGAAAGATTTAGGTGATGAATGAAGCAAGGATTAAAAGAGACACTGCAAGATAATGTCCATCTCAAGCAATCAGAGAACACATAAATCACTGGGCAGCCACATTTACAGATCTGAGCTCAAAGCAGCACAAAACCCAAAGTGACACCTCCTGAAAGTTCAATATTGAATTTTACCATCCTGGCTGGACAAACAACCTCTGCTCTGCAAAAATCCATTTACATTGGTAGGAGCAAATTAACCACACACTCCTACAAAATCAGGGAGCCAAAATTCAGCCTCAGCCTGAGGAGTCTCTGCAGATAAAAATTTGCTTTTAAAGGTGACTGAAAAAGCAAAATTTGTTTGTGATTTTTACTCCTGATTTCAATGCCTTTAGCATCTATCTCCTCCTTATCCTTTTATTTCTAATAATTCACTCCTCCTGCTTGAGACTCAAAAGTAAACCAGGATTTAAATACTATTACCAGCAGTGTTTAAAATCTGAGCAGTTGCAACAGGGAACATCCAGAGTGTGAACACCTGATTTGTGCTAATCTTCTAATTACTGCCAGATCATTAATCACCCTGAAGGAAATTTGTCCCAGCTTTCAAGTGGGCAGAAAGTCTCCTCCTGCTTGGGTGAGATCAGACAATCAAATTATGACTGATCTGGAAAAGCTGGTGTAAAAATGGTTTGAGAGAACAGAAAAGCAAATGCTTGCAGCTTTTAAAATAGTACTAATTAACAAGGATTCACCCATTCTAGGAAAACTTCAGGAGATTCTGTGTTACCTCACTCAATAACAGGAACTGAGGGGCTGAGCTACACTGTTGTAGCTGTGGGTGAGGGGTTTTGGAGCAAAATCACTCTTGTGGTGAGGATTTTTTGAGTAAAACTGCAATTGAGGATTAAAGAAAAGCTCAACTTACCCTCTCCTACTGGTGTTGGCCCAGTCAAAGAGTTTGTGCATGGCTGTGACCCCTTCCCTGCCCATGGGGGCCACGTCCCCTCCTGTCATGATGGCATAATCCATGCCTGAGTGCACAGCTAATTTCTGCAATGGAACAAAAACCAGCAAATTAAAGCTCTTCTTTCACTGCAAGGCCATGGAGGAGGAAGAGGGAATTAAAGCAGTTTAGTCCTGTCAGTGCTGGTTTGAAGAGGGGAGGTATTGGCTTCTTTATGTTCTTTATCACTTAGTGGCAATTTTTTGTTTAGGGCAAAAAATAAACCATATAAACCCTACAGAGGTGGATTTGAAGGGGCTGCTGCTGTGATTTTGTTTATTTTTTTCCATTTCTGTCTATCTCTATAGGCTTTAGAAACCCAAACTTGGTGGCTTTAGAAATCCAGTAGGTGCCATACAAAGCTTTAGGTGCCATAATCTCAAAAAACTATTTGGGTAGGGGTTTAATGTAATGATAGAGGGAAAAAAAAATCCAACTTGCATCAGTTTGGCAAATCTGCCACTGTTAAAAAGTTGATGAAACCTCAGGTCTTGTGGACAAGCACTGAAAAGCAAGGAAAAAATCAAATTCTGACTCCAACCCATGTAAAAATCATCCTGGCAGTGGCTCTGCACATGGAGCAGGAAAGAGCCATTTAGCCAAGGGCACAAACCCAGCAGAGGTGGCTGCTGCTGCTGTGATTCCCACAAATCCCAGTTCCAAGGGCTTTTCCCAGATGGAAAGGCTCCTGTGGCTCCTCTCAGCACCACAATCCAAGTGGCTGCACTGATTCAGAGCTGCCCTTTTTCCCTCCCCAGCAGGAACACAATGTTTATGCAACACCCCAGCCCAGGGAGGCTCCTCAGGCCCTGGAATTTTCAGAACACTTTGCAAGGTGCAGGTTGGCAGAATCTTGGCAGGGTTTTACCTTGGCAAAAAGAGTTTTCCCAGTGCCAGGGGGACCGTACATCAGAATATTCCTGTAGAGGCTTTTGTTCTTTTTTGTGTTTCTTGTAGCTATGGCAATGTCTCTCACACGTGCTTCCAGCTGGGGCTGCAAGGAAAGAGTTAAATTTAAGGATCAGAAGGTACCAAAAGAGCTGCACCTACCAGGTTCCCAAATCAGTACCTGCAGGAAGGAGGCAGCACTCCAGGCTCAAGCTTTTAAGTCTTAACTTCAGCTGCTCATGACTCCACACCAAGGTCATTTCCTGTCCTATGTGAGGATTTACTTGATTTTCTGTCCACTTGGCTACAATTCTTTCATAAGAAAAAGCAGCAGTGCAGGAAGGAGTGCAGTGACTACTCTAGGAACAGATAACACCTAAATATTCACTTCCTAATGGATGCCCTGGGAGGGATATGTCAAAACATAAGCAACTCTTTGCAGTGCTAATTCCTTCTCAAGTCATAAACTCATATTTTATTACTACTGCATTTGGGGGTACTGGGTGAGAGTTATTCCTGCAGGAGCATTTTCTCTCAGCAGCTTCAACCAGCTCTTAAATTTGCCAGGAATCAAATTCACAAGTAAATATAGAGAAGTAGCATGAATTAGCAAGTTAAGAACCAATCTCAGGGTGGGCAAATGCACACAATATTTAGATTTTTTTGGCCTAGAAGCTGGTTTGGGTTCAGTAATCCTTAACTTTAGATGGCACAAGTGGAATTCTGAATCTTCACATGCTGACTACAGAGAGAAACTGCAGCAGAGCAAGGACTGAAGTAAGGCTTCCAACTGCTTTTCAAAGAGGAAAAAAAGGTGAACAGGCTGCTTAATGCATGTCACACTGAACACAGGAGCTTATTTATGGTCTCAGTGTCCCAAGGGTGCTGTGACTCCAAAATTGCTGGAATTACAGCTTTAGAAGTGAGTTTAAGGAACCAGCAGCTCTTATTTGGAATCCAAAGTCATCCTTCACAGCCCAAGACAGGAAAACAAAGTACTCACACTGAGAACAACTCCTTCAAGGGCATCCTGAGCCTTGCTGGTGAGACGTTTACCAACCTTGAGAAGACAAATTCAGTTACTCACAGGCAGAAAAAACCACATTTTGACAACTCACTTGGACTAAAACACCTTACAGAACACCACTGGGCCCAGCCCATCCCTTCTGCCTCCAATATTCCGTTTATTCAGACCCACTGACAATCCCAGCCTGAGTTTTGCTGAGTGTAACACAGAAGCAGAGGTGAATTTTACCTTGATGGGATGTTTCAGAGCCTCCAGCACGGTGATCCTGGAGGTTTCCCTCACCAGGGAGGGTTTGCCCAGCCTTGCCTCTATGTAACGCCCTGCTACAGCCGTGGCATTTTTGGCAGAATAAACCCCCACTGCCAGCAGGGTGAGGCCTGCCACCTGCAAAAAAAAGGGGGAAAGATGAGCAAAAAACACTTGGCAAGGCAGTGGTGTTGTGTGCAGGCTGCCCTGTGGTGGGGAATTAAGATTCAGGACAAATGCTGAGCAGGAGGGGTTTATTTTTGGTAAGGTTTATTTTTTTTATCCCTGTTCAGACAGTCAAGGTCTCACACTCCCTGTTCACTGACTGCTCTTGCACAGCAAAAAGCAGAGGAAGCACAAGTGAAGCATTTAATCCTGAATCCAAAAGTACATCCTGCCCAAAAAAAAGTGTGGGGATGTCCAGATTTTCAAGTAAATTTGAGTAATGAAGATAAACCAGCCACACCAGCCAAAAAGTGTGGGGCTGAATTTTCAACTAAATTGAGTGATAAAGATAAAACAGCCACACCAGCCAAAAAGTGTGGGGCTGAATTTTCAACTAAATTGAGTGATAAAGATGAAACAGCCACAACAGGCAGGTGCTGCCTGCCAGAATGCCCCTCACCACACCAGAAAATGCAAGCTGAATTTCAGCTGCCAAGGTAAAACAGCTGAATTGTGGCTGTCACCAAGGCAGGGCACAGTGGGGAACAAAAAGGGAATAGCTGCTGGAGGTGAGAGCTGTGCCAGCCCCAGCAGCACAGGGAATTAGGGGCTCCTGAGGAACAACAGAGCCAAAACCACCATGGGAATGGGAATTACCACCATGGGAATGGGAATTACCATCACTCACTGGGCTGTTCCTTCAGAAACCCCACAAAATGAGCCATTCCCATCGATTTGCCAGTGAAGCAGAAACACTCCAGACTCTGGAGTCAGCTTAAAGCTGATGCCAATAATTTATATCAGAGAAAAGAGCAAACTGCAGCAATTGCTTTTAAAATAAGCTGACTTCTCCTGCAAGTACAGACGAGGGTCAAAAGCCTCAAGGACAACAAGGATGGCACTGTTCAATAAAGCATGAGGCACCATCTGTTAGCTCTCACTCTGCTGAAATGTGTGACATCACTTCTGCTCTGGTGGAAACACGGAGGGATCAGAACTGTGAGTTCCAGGATGCAAAGAGTGAGGGATCTCCACGCCCAGTTCAGCTCAGATACAGAACAGAACACAGAACAGATTTCACCTTTTTAGCAGCCTCCCTCTAAAAACAGAGCCATGATCTCATGCTCTCTTGGACCATCCTGCACAAAGTTCCCTGTGCCTGGGTGGATCTGATGTCATTTTCTCAGACTTTTGGACTTCACTTATGTTCATGTCACAAGATACAGAGAAGCAGAGCTTTAAAAATGAGTTCTGTATCAAACAAGACCCCAATTGCCCACTCTAAAAAACAGTCTGATTACAGTCTGCCTTTTGTCATAAAGTATCAAGCAAAGGAATGGGTCTCTGATCAGTAAATAAAGTGAATTACACTAAAACCACAATGAACCAAAACACTTGAAGTAGAACCCTTGGGGTTCTGCTTGGCTGGGGAGAGGTAGAGAAAGAGCAGCACTTAGAGCTGAAAATTCAGGTTTTATTTACAAGAACCTTAAAATAACTGACTGGTTCTTACCTTATAGTAATTTCAAACCTTTCAAAAGCAACAGAAAATATGAGTTCCAGCTGTGTTATCTCCTTTCCAAAAATACACTTACCTTTTTATTTTTTTTAAGTTAAATGTCCCAAATTCACAAGAGAAGGGCATGTCAGAAGCAAAAATGACAATTGGTATGTGGGTCAAGTGAATGCACAGCTCAAAGCACCAAGCACTGATCTACAAAAGGCTCTGAAAGCTGCAGACACCCCAGGTACGGATGACAAAAGGAGCCACTAAAAGCTTGGCTTGTTCTCCCCAGTGCTCTCAGGCAAAGGATGTTTTGTATCAGCCTGTGTGTATAAAATCAGAGGGTGGAGCAGATGGTGGTGACTGATTTAAAGCAGAATTTCTATTTTAACCAGCCACGCTACCAAAAATATATTTTCAATACATTTTGTTTTAAGTATTACACTGAGAAACAACTTGCTGTCCCCAAGATTCCATTGCCAAGCTCTTTTGTCCTGTGAACAGATGTTGGTCTGGCCTTTAATCAATTTATTTAGCACACATAACAGCTCTCTAAGTGCTCTCTAGGCTACACCAAAATTAGATTTAAAGCTGTGACACATTCAGGAGTTTCACACACATTTACAGACAGGTTTTTCTGGAAGTTACTGACAGGTTTCCCAACCTTACCGTGGCTGTGACTTTATCCCAGTCTGTCACAAAAGCACGGAATCCTTCCCCAAAGAGCATCCCAGCTGTCCTGTGGCAAGCAAACAGCAAGGCAAGCAGGAGAGAAAGGGAATTCAAGGACTGAATTGATACATTTTAAAGACAGGCTTTCAGATTGTGTTACAGTTGCTCATCTTCTTCAGAATAAGTCAAAGCTAAGGGCTCACCTCAGAACTGGAACATGAACAAGCATGGAAAATATATTTATAATCCTCTGATGTCTACACCTGAGCTGGGATTAAAATCAGAAAAGCACCTGGCCTTAAGATGGCATCAATTTACTTCTTTAATGCATGATTTGTGCTGAACTGGAGGTATTTAACTCTAAAGCTTTTTTGTTCAAAATCTCAAAGGACCTAAAATTAACCAATTCCAAAGCTGAACACCCAGGCCTGAGGAGCCAAACTGCATGATACCTTTGTGATGGATGTTCTGGAAGAACTGAGGGGAACTCAAAGAACCGAGGGGTTCTCAGAGCTACTGAGCTCCAGGACTAAAGAAAAGGCTTGAAATAATCTGTTAGAAAAATTGTATCACTCTAAATGTCTCTGGTTATCATTCAGGTGACAATGTAGCGAGACAAGCCAGAGAGGTCACACAACACTGGAATTCCTTGGAGGAACAAACCCCAGGGTCTCCCACACCTGGGAGAAGCACCAGGCTGAAATTCCTGAGGAACAAACCCCAGCTTTTCCCACACCTGGGAGAAGCACCAGGCTGAAATTCCTGAGGAACAAACCCCAGCTTTTCCCACACCTGGGAGAAGCACCAGGCTGAAATTCCTTGGAGAAACAAAGCCCAGGTTCTCCCACGTGCTGGGACACACTTGGAGAAGGACCAGAGGAACAAAGCCCAGCTTCTCCCACATATGGAGACACACTTGGAGAAGCACCAGGCTGAAATTCCCTGGAAGAATAAACTCCAGGTTCTCCCACATGTGGGGATACACTTAGGAGAAGCACCAGAAGAACAAACCCCAGGCTCTCCCCCAGGCTAGGACACACATGGAGCAGCTCCAGAGGAACAAACCCCAGCTTTTCCAACATGCTGGACACACTTGGGAGAAGCACCAGGCTGCAATTCCTCAGGGGAACAAAGCCCACGTGTGCTGGGACACACCTGGAGAAGCACCAGAGGAACAAACCCCCGCTTCTCCCACGCGCTGGGAGCTAGAAACTGCACCGGAGGAGCACAGCCCAGGCTGTCCCACGCTCGGGTGGAGCAGCTGCAGGCCCTGCCCTCACCCACCGGAGGGACTCGAGCACGGTCTGGCGGTGCTCGGCGGCCTTGAGGCGGATCTGCTCGCGGATGATGTCGGCGTTCTCGCGCTCGGCCTTGGCGCGCGCCCGCGCCTCCGCCTCCACCCGCAGCATCTCGTTCTTGTGCCGCAGCTCCATCTCCCTCTCCACGGTGGCTTGGGTAAAAAAAAACAGCAGAGAGGTCAAATTTTTGGGTGGATTAATGTCAGGGAGGAGGAAAACACCAGGGAAGTTGCAGTGCGCTGGAAGGAAGAGAAGCAAAACGGAGCTGCCGGTCCCAAAGGGGATTTTGGAAGCTCTGTTATTTCAAACATGGAATTGTGTGAAAGGAGAATGAATGAGAAATTCAGGAGTAAAATAACCCAACCCTACAGGGTTTCACATGAGGGCTGTGTTATTCAGGCTACATTTCCCTCACTGGATGGCAGCACAGCTGGCCACATCTGTGCTCAGAGCAAAACACCCTTCCCATCCCATCCAGTTAATTAACATGAACATTTCTTAACATTTCAGAGATCTGCACCCCAGGGGAGCTCTGCAAACCCAGGAATTCTGGCAATTCCCAACAACAAAAAGAAACTAAGCAAGTTTCACACCACAACTTTTTTATGTTCTGCAGGAAACTGAATGGGGATGAGGTGACACAGACTTAGCCACTCCTCACAGATGTTTTGCTTCTCTCCCCTCCTCAAAACTGGTTCTATTTTAGAAATCAGTATGAAATCAGAATTTCATGAGTTGCTGACAGTTCATTGGGAAACCCAGGAGTGACAGGGCAGATGTTTAGGAGTGCAGCCCTTTCTAAAACTAACCTTGGAAGCAAATGGTAATTTTAGCACTCCTGGGATTTACCTGCTCTTGCCAATCTGCCATCAAACACAGCAAGGACACAAAGATCAGCACAAGGACTCCACATGGCCTCACACCCTCAGCAGCTGAACAAAACACTCACCTCGCCTCATGGCCTCCTGCTTCTGCACAGATTCCTCCTGCTTCCTCAGATTTTCCTCATTAGCAAGTTGCTACAGGGAGAGACGACAGCAGAAGAGATGTTGACGTTGTAATGACTCCATCAAGTGTAAACTTAAGTGCTACTGATGCCTTGGGTTTTGGCTTTTCTATTTTCCAGATTCTGTACTGATGCCTCAGGTTTTGACTTTTCTGTTTTTCACATTCTATGCTGCTTTAGTGTGTGGGTCTGAGCTTCATATCAGGGGATGGTGAGATCTGTGCACAGAGCAGGGAGACAAAACAATTCCTGCTCCAGCTGGGGACCAAGGACAAATGATCCAAACCTCAGCCCAGGAGCACAAACCCCGTGGGCTGGAGAGAGAAGAACAAGGATGGGACTGCAGGGGCTGAGCTGGAATTGGACACTGAACTGCAATGTGCACATGGAGCAGAGCTGATCCCAGGGAGAGACCCTGTGACCCTCGTGCATTTTGGGACCATTTGGGTTCACCTTGGGTTCATTTTGGGGCCATTTGGGTTCATCTTGGGTTCATTTTAGGACCATTTGGGTTCACCTTGGGTTCATTTTAGGACCATTTTGGTTCACATTGCGTTCATTTTGGGACCATTTTGGTTCATCTTGGGTGCAGCCCTGGCTGGGCTCTTGTGCTGCCCGAGGTGGATCCATGGAGGAGATCCTTTTCATAAATCCCTGCTTTATTCTTTAACTCAGCCTAGTCTGTTCTACGTCAGCCTTCCCAAGGCATCACTCCAAATATTTCCAAGAAGCTGCTGCTCAGGTTGAAGTGTGTTTTCCTCTCTCCATCTCCCAGATTTCTCCTCCTAATCCCAAGCAGCTGCTTGGTCCTAATGCCCAGCTCTTCATGTGCACTGCTGATGCTGAGCAGATAGTAAACTGCACCCAGCAGGACAGGGCACAGCTCCAGAGCATCTCTTGGATTTCAGAAGGCTCCCAGCCATTCCCAGCTGGATCAGAGCAGGAACCCACCCTACCTGCTGTCGCATCTGCTCGTCGTAGCGCTGCCGTGCCAGCTTGTCCTGGTACTGGGCTCTCTTCAAAAAACAAAACACAACACACAGATTAGGCAGTTAAAAATAGCCTGCTCCTCAGGGAAATGAGGTTCAGGAGGAAAGAGAACCAAATGAAATGGTAAAATCCACACAAACAAAAATTATCCTGGATTTGAATGTGAACAGGGCAAAATATCCTCAGTCAGCATCAAAAACTCCTCTGTGCTAAGAAATCTCTACAGTCTGACTTCATTTTATGGTATCACAGTTGTCAAAACAAAGAGCAAGGGTTTCTTAGCCCACAAAAGGAGACTTCAGTGGGAAAAATAAGGTTTTCATGTTCTAAACCACTTTATCTGGTGACAGCAAGCAATAGAAGTGCCAGGATGTGCTGATGGGCTCTGGTTTTGTTGAAGATTTACTTGTTCCTCATTAATTGCTCTTTTCAATCACTGTAACCCCAAACAAACCCAAGTCATCTCCACTGAACTGGAAGTGGGCTGAGGATCCACATCCAGGAGGACTCTGTGTCAGGGGTGACACCATCCTTACTCCAAACACAGGGATAGCAGAACAGCTTGGGAATTATCTCCTCAGCAACAGTAAAACATCATGGAATAAACCAAGACTGAATTTGCTGTGATTTCAGATAACCCAAGAGTTTGCTGTGACCTCAAATGATGCCCTGTGAGCAGCAGGAGGTGAAGAACCAGCCCCTGAGAGCAGCTGAGTGTGCAGCTGCTGCCTGGGCCAGCCCTGCTCAAAGTCCAAACTCTGCCAGGGTAAAAGCCCCACGTGCCAAATAAACAGTTCTAGCAAACTTCCCAAGCTGGAGAATCCATTAGAATTAATCGATTCCCTCATCTCCTGTGCTCTCAGAGTAAGAAATCCCCATAATTTAGCTTTTAACCTTAAGGCCAGACTTTGTTTTCCCTGTTTCAGGATTATTGCCACATCAGCCACTCAAGCTAAAACAAACCAGGAAGGACCAACACTGCTCACAACAACTCAGATATGCATCACTTCTCTTAAGATATTTTTTCCTGTTTAATTCAGACTAAATAGAATACTTAAGACTGAAATCTAAATAACTTCAGAGCCATTTCACTGTCCAGGCTAACATAAACAGTTGATAAAGCTGTATTCCCTGAAAAACCCTTTAGGAAAACCCCCAAAAACACAGAACGAGAGAAATTGCTACCAGCAATTCCTTTGGATGTTCAAGAACTTGGGAACAAAAGTCCAAGAGCATTAAAAATCCAGCTCAACATCACAAATCCAGGACAGAACGGGGGCTCAGCCTGTGAACACCCCCAGAGCCCTTCTTTCCAAAAAGGAATAATTAATGAAAGGGATAATGAAGGCATCATTCCAGGACAGAACAGGGGCTCAGCCTGTGAACACCCCCAGAGCCCTTCTTTCCAAAAAGGAATAATTAATGAAAGGGATAATGAAAGGGATAATGAATGCATCATTGCCTTTTCTGTAAGGGAAGATACAAACAAGCTCTCCCCTCACTTGGCCTCCCCCTCATTCCCTTACTGCTTGGTGCTGTTTGGTTTCTTCATTGAGTGTTTTCCTCCTCTCTTCTGCCTGCACACGGATCTGCTCATTCTTCAGCTGTTCTATGGCAGCCTCGTACTCCTGGGGCACAATCAAGAGAATTTAATTGTCAGAAATTCACAGATCATCCTCTGCAGAAATGCTGCTGAAAATCCCATGCCAAGAAATCCCTCTGTATTCAGAGTGGTGCCTTTAAAAGATGGCCGCTGACACAAGAAAGTTAAATTTGGTAATAAATAGAAATAATGAAAATAAATAGAAATAAGAAAATATTACAATAAAAGATGATAATAAAAGATTATACTAGAATGTGATAATAAAATATGATAATGAAATATAGCACTAGAATATTATAATAAAATATTATAATAAAAATTAAATTCTCAGTGATCATAAGAAATACCATAATCAACCATTTCAGGATTAAACACAATTAAAAAAAAATAAAAATAAGAGATCAACCAACACCCCAACAATCCCTAAATTCCTTTATAAGAGAAACAGAAGTCTGTCCTTCACCCAGCTACTTCACATTTCCCACAGAAACCCCCTGTCATTCCCCAAAACCAGCAGTGATACTCCAGGAGTTACAAAACCACCCAGGACATGCAAGTTTTAACCAAAACCACAAAAAATTGTGTCAGAATAGGCCAAATTAGCTGAGATTCACCCCTTCAGTGGGCTTTAAAGGTAGATGAAATCCTTCAGTGGGCTTTAAAGGTAGATGAAATCCTTCAGTGGGCTTTAAAGGTAGATTAAATCCCTCAGTGTCTGTGGCAGTTTCTGTTTGTCTGATTCTCGCCCTCTCTGCTCCCTGCTCCAGAGTGGAACAACCCCTCAGGTGGAACAATTCCCTCAAGGGTGGCACAACCCCTCAAGGGTGGAAGAGCCCCTCAGGGGTGGAATAATCCCTCAGGTGGAGCAATTCCTCAGGTGTGGCACAACTCCTCAGGTGGAGAAATCCTTGAGGGGTGGAACAAGACCTCAGGTGTGGAACAATCCCCCAGATATGAACAACCCCTCAGATGGCACAATCCCTCAGGGGCGGAATAATCCCTCAAGTGGAGCACAACCCCTCAGATGTGCCACAACTCCTCAGGTGACACAACCCCTCAGGTGTAGCACAACCCCCCAGGTGTAGCACAACCCCTCAGATATAGCACAATCCCTCATTAAGTTTATGTTTTTTTTTTTTTTTGCTTAACATCTGTGTATTGTATTTTCACACAAATCTAAGCTTCTTCCAAGGCTGTAGATGAAATCCCTCAGTGGGCTTTAAAGGTAGATGAAATCCTTCAGTGGGCTTTAAAGGTAGATTAAATCCCTCAGTGTCTGTGGCAGTTTCTGTTTGTCTGATTCTCGCTCACCCCCTCTCTGCTCCCTGCTCCAGAGTGGAACAACCCCTCAGGTGGAACAATTCCCTCAAGGGTGGCACAACCCCTCAAGGGTGGAAGAGCCCCTCAGGGGTGGAATAATCCCTCAGGTGGAGCAATTCCTCAGGTGTGGCACAACTCCTCAGGTGGAGAAATCCTTGAGGGGTGGAACAAGACCTCAGGTGTGGAACAATCCCCCAGACGTGGCACAACCCCTCAGATGGCACAATCCCTCAGGGGTGGAATAATCCCTCAAGTGGAGCACAACCCCTCAGGTGTGCCACAACTCCTCAGGTGACACAATCCCTCAGGTGTAGCACAACCCCCCAGGTGTAGCACAGCCCCTCAGATATAGCACAATCCCTCATGGGTGGCACAACCCCTCAGGTGTAGTACAATTCCCCAGGTGCCACAGCCCCTCAGGTGTAGCACAGCCCCTCAGGTGTGGCACAGCCCCCCAGGTGTGGCACAGCCCCCCAGATATAGCACAATCCCCCAGGTGCCACAACCCCACAGGTGTAGCACAGCCCCTCAGGTGTGGCACAGCCCCTCAGGTGTGGCACAATCCCCCAGGTGTGGCACAATCCCCCAGGTGTGGCACAGCCCCTCAGGTGTAGCACAATCCCCCAGGTGTGGCACAGCCCCTCAGGTGCGACACAGCCCCTCCATCCCTCACATCCAGGCGGGATCTCCGGGCACCCCTTCCTGCCCTTCCCTCTCGTCCCACGGAGCACAGCCCCCTCCCCGTTCCCACCCCCTCTTCCCCCCACACCCCCCGAGCCCTCCCGGCCCGTCCCCTCACGCACGGGACGCGTCCAGCTCCCGCGCCGCCTTGGCCGCGCGCTCCAGGCCCGTGGGGTCGAAGTTGCTCCATTTGTCCTTGGGCGTCTGACGGTCCCCGGCTCCGCCGCCACCCCCACCAGCAGCGGGGCCGGGCGGCAGGGAGAGGCCGGCACCGCTGCCCGGGGATGCCGCATCCCCGCCGCCGCCCGGGGCAGCCCCGCGGTTCAGCCCGAACAGCCACGACATGAGGGCGGCGGCGGCGGCTGCACGCGGGGGACGCGCCGCGGCCAGCGCGCATGGGCCGCATGCGGGCGGGCCTCCCATTGGCTCGCCGGAGAACCGCTCCGCGCTCTGATTGGCGAAAAGGCGCCGCGTGTGGGGTTTGATTGGTTGGAAGAGGAGGGAAGGGAGGGAGAGAAGTGTGTGGGACGGAGAGCCGCGAGGGACAAATGGGGCGGGCGGCGCTTCCGCGTAGCAACGGGAGTGAGGGGCGTTGCTAAGGGCCGCGAGGCGGCGCGGCCTTGGGTTATCCCGGGTTTAACTTGGGTTATCCCGGGTTTCTCTTGGGTTATCCCGGGTTTAATTTGCGTTAATGGGTGGCACAACCCCTCAGGTGTAGTACAATTCCCCAGGTGCCACAGCCCCTCAGGTGTAGCACAGCCCCTCAGGTGTAGCACAGCCCCTCATGGGTGACACAGCCCCTCAGGTGTGGCACAGCCCCTCAGGTGTGGCACAGCCCCTCAGGTGTGGCACAATCCCCCAGGTGTGGCACAATCCCCCAGGTGTGGCACAGCCCCTCAGGTGTAGCACAATCCCCCAGGTGCCACAGCCCCTCAGGTGTAGCACAGCCCCTCAGGTGTAGCACAGCCCCTCATGGGTGACACAGCCCCTCAGGTGTGGCACAGCCCCTCAGGTGTGGCACAGCCCCTCAGGTGTGGCACAATCCCCCAGGTGTGGCACAGCCCCTCAGGTGTAGCACAATCCCCCAGGTGTGGCACAGCCCCTCAGGTGTAGCACAATCCCCCAGGTGTGGCACAGCCCCTCAGGTGCGACACAGCCCCTCCATCCCTCACATCCAGGCGGGATCTCCGGGCACCCCTTCCTGCCCTTCCCTCTCGTCCCACGGAGCACAGCCCCCTCCCCGTTCCCACCCCCTCTTCCCCCCACACCCCCCGAGCCCTCCCGGCCCGTCCCCTCACGCACGGGACGCGTCCAGCTCCCGCGCCGCCTTGGCCGCGCGCTCCAGGCCCGTGGGGTCGAAGTTGCTCCATTTGTCCTTGGGCGTCTGACGGTCCCCGGCTCCGCCGCCACCCCCACCAGCAGCGGGGCCGGGCGGCAGGGAGAGGCCGGCACCGCTGCCCGGGGATGCCGCATCCCCGCCGCCGCCCGGGGCAGCCCCGCGGTTCAGCCCGAACAGCCACGACATGAGGGCGGCGGCGGCGGCTGCACGCGGGGGACGCGCCGCGGCCAGCGCGCATGGGCCGCATGCGGGCGGGCCTCCCATTGGCTCGCCGGAGAACCGCTCCGCGCTCTGATTGGCGAAAAGGCGCCGCGTGTGGGGTTTGATTGGTTGGAAGAGGAGGGAAGGGAGGGAGAGAAGTGTGTGGGACGGAGAGCCGCGAGGGACAAATGGGGCGGGCGGCGCTTCCGCGTAGCAACGGGAGTGAGGGGCGTTGCTAAGGGCCGCGAGGCGGCGCGGCCTTGGGTTATCCCGGGTTTAACTTGGGTTATCCCGGGTTTCTCTTGGGTTATCCCGGGTTTAATTTGCGTTATCCCGGGTTTAACTTGGGTTATCCCGGGTTTCTCTTGGGTTATCCCGAGTTTAACTTGCGTTATCCCGGGTTTCCCTGAAAATCGGCTCCAGACTGGTGTTATCCCGCATTTCCCTTAGGGTTATCCCGGGTTTCCCTGGAAATCAGCCCCAGCCTGGCGTTATTCTGGATTTCCTCCAAAATCCTCTCCTTGGAATGGCAGAGAGGATGGGAAAGCAGAAAAGGAGAAACCTGCGGCTGTGCTTATGTGGGATAAAGAGCAGGATTTCCCTGGAAATCAGCTCCTAATCCAATGTTTTGGCATGGAAAAGATGAGACAGGAGCCTCCTGAAAAGGGGAGCACAGGGAATCCCATTGCTGTGATTATCTGGGATAAAGAGTGAGGATATTCCATGGAAATCAGCTCCCAGTCCATCATTTCTGAATGGGAAGGATGAGAGGAAAGGGGAGTGCAGCAAAAGTCAGGAACACGTGGAATTCTGCAGCCTGCAGTGGTGTAAAATGTAGAATACACCAGGAGCATGCCCAGCCCTCAGCAGCAGGCCGGGGACACCTTTCAGATCTTTTATTTTTTTTCTCCAAATGTTCATTTTCCTTCTCAAATTCACACTTAGATCCATGGAAACACAGAATATCCTGAGCTGGAAGGGATCCACAAGGATCAGAGTCCAGGACACCCCAGGACACCTTTCAGATCTTTTATTTTTTTCTCTAAATGTTCATTTTTCTTCTCAAATTCACACTTAGATCCATGGAAACACAGAATATCCTGAGCTGGAAGGGATCCACAAGGATCAGAGTCCAGGATATCCCAACAATCCCACCCTGTGCCCGAGCACAAATATTTATCAGATCTGCCAAGATTTCAGGGTAAAACAATCCTTTTGGAACTGAGGCTTTATCAGCACCAATATATTTCTATTTTTTACATTTCCATCACATTTTTTTGGGGGAAGGGGAAAAGTTTGGAGTAAACCAGTAAAATTCAGGCACGGGTAGAACATGCACTTCATTTAAAATTATGATTGAACAGGGTGATCTCAGCAGTTTTTCCCAACTTTTATGATTCTATGAATGCCAGCTTTTCAACCCCTGGAACAAAACCCACAATTCCCCCCAAAAAACCCCCACAGATTTGCCAGCAAGCACAAAGGAACCATTCAGTAGCTCTTGTATTTATATTTAATTGTCTTCAAAAGGGTGTGTTACAACTTGTGGGGGGGGGGATGAAAATTAATGCATTAATAAACTATGCAGGGAGTTGTGCAAACTTAATTTCTGTTCTACAGCGAGAAGAAACAAAATCATTTTATTGCATGAGCACTTCCAGGGGCTTTGTCATCCTTTCAGCACTGAGATTAATCAGTGACAAACATTCCAGAGGAGGACACAAATCACGTGAAAAATCTCTTTATAGAGTTAATGAATGACTCACCTCCCTCCTCTCCTGAGCAAGGCAGCCCAAGGAAAAATGCTCCAGAAAGGTGGAGATGAAGGATTCAGCTCTCAGGAGACAAAGTTAGGAATAAAAGTTTCTCTCAGCTCCAAAAGGAGCTGGTTTAAGCTTTTTAGGAAGGGTTTGTGGGGCTGCATGGGGCTCCCCACAAACAGCACTGCTTCAAAACCAAGTTCTACACGGAGGGCAAATAAGCAATAAATTTAAAATAAAGCAGGAGTTACTGAGGGAGGGTGTTCCCACTGATGCTGGGGTTTAGCAGAGAAATATCTACATTTCTTTACAGCCCTAAGCCCTGAACTTTGAAACCATTTGCTTGGTCACTAGGTATTTATAATTAATTTTTTTTTTTCCCCAGCTTGCCTTTCCAGAGTGGCTTAGAGACAGCGAGTTCAAGCTTAGGGGCAAAGGGAAATAATCAGATTTATTCTTCTGCCTTAAAAACATTGATTTTTAAGTGTAGCTCAAGCTTAGCACTGGGTGGAAGCCCAAGACCAGACACCAGAGATGTGCTGTGTGTGTTCAGAGCGCAGAGGAATGACAGTGCTGGAGACTTATTGCCTGTAATTAGTCACAGACCAGGCTAATTAATCCCCACGAGGACAGCAGCACTCCCGTTCGGTGAAGAGGGTTTGCAGGAAAGCCAGAGCAATGATCCAGGCAGGAGCACAGAAACAAAAATAAGTGCTTTAGGTGGTTTTGTCTGGCTTTTCTGGGCTCTCAGCTGCTCCTGGAGGGAAGCACACTCCCAGGATTTTGGGTTTCCTGCTCTCTCATTCCTTCCAGGCTCCCTGGAGGGAATGGATTGGACTCAGGAGTGGATTTGGCCAGGTAGAACCTCTCTCTGAGATGAACAGCCGAGTCCTGACTGTGCTCCTGAGCTGCAAAAAGAATCCTGGATCAACCTTGAGCAAACGGAAAATGGGCAGCAAGCTAGCAATAGTGAGGCTCCACCACTCCGCCTCCGTTTGTCACTCGCGTTTCTACGACATGGGGACACATTTGGCATCTTTTAGTCACACTGGCTGCTCCATCCAGCCAGGCCAAGCCTTTAAACCCTGGCAGAGCTTGGGCTGGACAAGCAGGACACCTCCAGGGACAGCACAGCCTGGGAGATGAGCTTCTTCCTGCCCTGGTTTCTCCTTGTTTTTGTCCAAATCTTTGTCCGTTCAAGACCTTTGCTCTGCTGGGAGTCAGCTCACTGCAGCCTGTCACGCTCTCTGTGCCGGTATCCTCGGGCCTCTGTAGCTGGAAGGACACAGGGAATAAAAATTTCAGAATATAAGGAATAAAAATTTCAGAATATAAGGGGAAAACAAATGTCAGAATAAAAGGAATAAAAATGTCAGAACTTGAGGAATAAAAATGTCAGAATAAAAGGAATAAAAATGTCAGCTTTAGCCAGCCATTCTCCACATCTGTCCCAGATCTCACCCTTTAGTTTTATGCATTAAATGCATAAATAAATGTTAATAAATAAATTTATTTACGTATTTAATGTTTGCATAGCATTAATTATTTTATTAATTATTAATTTTAAATTAATTACTATTTCTCAATTATTAATTAATAAAACCATTAATAATTAAATTAATAATAATTAATATATTATAAATATTACTTAGTATTATTTATAAATAATAAAACTAAGTATTATTTATAAATAAATTATAAATAATACTTAGATGATAAATTTAAGAAATAAATAAATGTATTTTGTGCATTCAATGCATAAATAAATTTTAATAAATTATTTTGATTTAATATTTAAATGATATTAAGTAATAAATAAAATTAGTAATTAAATTAACAATGATTAATAGCATATTTAAATAATATTTAAATAATACATTTAATTAATAATTAAATGTATCTGTTTAATATTTAAATAATATTAATTAAGAAAGAAAAATAAATAAATAATAATAAATATAATATTGAATAAAATTAATACATTTAATAAATGAATGCATTTCTATGCATTAAAAGCATAAAAATACAGCATTTTAATGTTGCTATAGGTAGAAAAATTATAAAATTATAAAGAAAAGCCTCATAAAATCAGGCCTTCTCTGGCTGGATTGTCATTTGTTCTCAGCCAAGCCAGTTCCCATGTAAAAATAATCCTGGTGTGAGCAGTTCATTAACAAAGCAATCTATTCCTGGCTACAAAAAACAACCTGCACCTCTATAAACTGTTTTTACACCCTTAGCTAGAAAGATGAAAACTATTTTTCATCAACAACCTCCCCAGCATGCGGACACTGAGAATTTGAGTGACCAATCCATACAACTTAACAACTTTTACTAATTAATAATGTAATTGGCAAGGAAACCACTAACAAACTGGAGTCCCACACGAGGTGTGAGTAGTAAGAATAAGAAGAATAATAAAAATAATGAGAATAATAAGAATAATGAGAATAATGAGAATAATGAGAATAATAGGCAATCTATTCCTGGCTACAAAAACAACTTGCACCTCTATAAACTGTTTTTACACCCTTAGCTAGAAAGATGAAAACTATTTTTCATCAACAACCTCCCCAGCATGCGGACACTGAGAATTTGAGTGACCAATCCATACAACTTAACAACTTTTACTAATTAATAATGTAATTGGCAAGGAAACTGCTAACAAACCGGAGTCCCACACGAGGTGTGAGTAATAAAAATAATAAGAATAATAAAAATAATGAGAATAATAAGAATAATAAGAATAAGGAGAATAATAGTAATAATAAGAAAAAGGCTTTCCACCACAAAGAAAACTGAGTCCCATGTGCTTTATTCCCGTATTTTTGCTCTCACTGCAGCCCCTAGATGGAAAAAAAGAGCTTTATTTAGTAGCTTCTGTTTAGTTGTACTCCATCCTGTCAGGACCCTTCAATGCCCTTCAATGTCTGAAAGTGGCTTTTGGGCAGCAGGAGGAAGAAAGAAATGTTGTGTTTTTGTAAATGGCTTTAATTGTTATGTGTCCCCTGCCAAGTGAAGGGCAACCAAGGCTCCAAATGATTTTTCAAGAGCACTTTTAGCAGTGTTCCCACCCCAGTTATCCCAAAGTGGGATTTTCTTCCTCCTGCCTGCAATAAACTCCACTAGGAGGAGTCTTACTCCTAAAAACGGGGGGAAAAGCCCAATTTTGGTGAAACAAGAGCAGTGATGAGCACAGAATATCCCAGCCCTCTGTGGTTTTGGAATGCATGAAACAGAAACCCCTCAGAGAGAGAAAGGAATGCAGGATTTGA